TGTATGTAGTGTTGTGTTGTGTATGTGTCTATTATAGTGTGTGTGTTGTGTGTGTGTGTGTGTGTGTGTGTGTGTGTGTGTGTGTGTGTGTGTGTGTGTGTATGTATATGTGTGTGTGTGTGTATGTGTGTCTGTGTGTGTATGTGTGTGTGTGGACGTGTACAATATATATATATATATATACGGGCATGTGTGTGTATACGTATTGTATATGGGTGTAAAGGCACGCTATGTTTTCTAAAAATGTGAACAAGATTGCAGTGACATCTGTTTGGGTGTGCACGCCAATTGCGCAGTACCTGTGTATCGTTAGAATAGCAATAGTGATAGAACCCCTGTATGCAACAAAGCGTACAAGTCACCAAGGCTACTATCTCCTACAGGTATGTATAAAGCAATCAAAGGGAAGGGAAGAGTACAGCAAAAGGTTCCTAGCATGTAAATGTATAAACTAATCCGAAAGGTCACGAGCATGCGTACGTATTCGGCACACCCAATGGTACTAAAAGTCCAACGTTGTACCTACATACTCACGACTATGCAAGCATGTGGTATGACAATCGCTCCAGTCCAAATCATCCGATGCCAATGCTACCATACACATACTTACGCATATGCACCTTGCATCACTGGAAAGACACACACACACCCCACACACACCTTTTGACCGGCACACACCACTTGCCATCCCATAGACAATCTATACCAATCACTCACGTGTTCATTGTATTCAGTACAGATACCAATCCCCACAAACCACTGCTCATGCACACGCACACGCACACGCACACGCACACGCACACGCACACGCACACGCACACGCACGCGCACGCGCACACACACACACACACACACACACACGCCATTGACAGGGTACATAAGCACCATATGACCAAGCAAGCGCTACGCTATGGCTGGGCGTACACCTACCCTTCACCTGCTTCTTCTCAACTGCTTTGATTGAGTCTTCGTGTCGACTCCAGATCACATAGCCGTGATGCTTGAGGATTGCAATGGTCAAATCTGTATAAGTAGATATAGTCTAATTGTGAGGTGCTGGTAGACATAGGCCAATTGTGAGATATAGGCAGACATAGGCCAATTGTGAGTTATAGGTAGACATAAGCCAATTGTGAGTTATAGGTCGACATAGGCCAATTGTGAGGTATAGGTAGACATAGGCCAATTGTGAGGTATAGGTAGAAATAGGCCAATTGTGAGTTATAGGTAGACATAGGCCAATTGTGAGTTATAGGTAGACATAAGCCAATTGTGAGTTATAGGTCGACATAGGCCAATTGTGAGTTATAGGTAGACATAAGCCAATTGTGAGGTATAGATAGACATAGGCCAATTGTGAGGTATAGGTAGACACTGGCCAATTGTGAAGTATAGGTAGACATAGGCCAATTGTGAGGTATAGGCAGACATGAGTCACCCACACTCACGGCCAAGGGAGATGCACACCAATAGATATAACCCATTGCAATTGATTACAGCTCATATCACAACATACAACACCACTCACACTCACACTAGCACTCACATCCACGACGAATGGAGGTACACACCGATATCCTTCTGGCTCAGGCGTTGCAACAGATCACTCAGCACCTTCTCCAGATTCAACCAGAAGTTGACCTCCAATGTGGCGGTCTTGATGTTTAAGTCATGGTCCAAACTGGTGATCTGGGTGAGCAATCAGTCAGGGTTGTCTTTGTCAGTGGCGTGATACATGCAAACACACCCCATACGACAGGATAGGTAGGAGAAGTACTGGTGGTAACTGTCTCCGATGGAGCACTACATCGCCACACAACACAACACCTGGGAGACTGGACCCACCCGCGGCATAGGCGATAGCGCCAGTCTAAAGATGTGAGATATACTGATAGGTGTAGTAACAAGTATAGTAACAGGTATAATAGTAACAGGTATAATAGGAACAGGTGTAATAGTAACAGATGTAATAGTAACACGTATAATAGTAACACGTATAATAGTAACAGGTGTAATAGTAACACGTATAATAGTAACAGGTGTAATAGCAACAGGTATAATAGGAACAGGTATAATAGTAGCAGGTATAATAGTAACATGTACAATAGTAACAGGTGTAATAGTAACAGGTGTAATAGTAACAGGTGTAATAGTAACAGGTATAACAGTAACACGTATAATAGCAACACGTATAGTAACACGTATAGTTTCACGTATAGTAACACGTATAGTAACACGTATAGTAACACGTATAGTAACACGTATAGTAACACGTATAGTACAGACATGCGGTGTATTGGCACACGTGCCCAGCTGATTATCCGCACCTTTTCGATCTCGCGTTGCCACTCCTTGACATTGGTCTCGAGTTCTCTCAACAGATTGTCTGGCACATCCGCAAACTGCCGCAGCATATCTGACGTTTCCGTAATCCCCGATTGTTGCGCCTGTTATGACAAACAAAACACATGTGTGCACTTAGAAGCCATAGATTCATTAAACACATGTGTGCACTTAAAAGCCATAGATACATTAAACACATGTGTGCACTTAAAAGCCATAGCTACATTAAACACATGTGTGCACTTAAAAGCCATAGCTACATTAAACACATGTGTGCACATAAAATCCATAGCTACATTAAACACATGTGTACATTCAAAAGCCATAGCTTCATTAAACACGTGTGTGCACTGCCAATCACAGCATAGGGAGCATTTGTTGTACTATAACAGATGAACAATCCTAGCATAGGAGACATGTGTTGTATTATATAAACCAACGCATTCGCGTGATAGAAAGACATCGTTCCCCACACCCACCCACCACATGCGAAATACCGCCATCAACCCAACCTCAAAGCATAGAGGACAGCCGTCTAGCACCACTCTAACTCAACCCATTCTAAGGCTCCTCAGCTGACCGACTTGTGCTAAAACAGGACAACCGTCTAGCACCACTCTAACCCAACCCATTCTATGGTCTCTTCAGCTGACCTGCTTGTGCTACAACAGGACAACCGTCTAGCACCACTCTAACCCAACCCATTCTATGGTCTCCTCAGCTGACATACTTGTTCTAAAACAGGACAACCGTCTAGCACCACTCTAACCCAACCCATTCTAAAGTCCCCTCTTGACATACTTGTGCTAAAGCGGTCTCTATATCGGGATGGATGCGGAACACAGTGTCGGGTATTTCTGTGTCCTGTTGCAGATTCAGAAGTTTCAGCTCCAAATCAGCCAACTGGCGCTTAACGGACGCTGTAATGATTTAATAATATTCAGGTTTAGGTTTATATGCAGCATACACGTTTATGTATATTACTATTCAGTGTATACGCCTATATGATTGATGACATTCCGATTATGCGTTTATATGTTTGATAGCACTCAGTTGATACGTTTACATGATTATAACATTCCGTTAATACGTTTGTATGATTAATAGCATTCAGTCTATACGTTTACATGTTTAATAGCTTTCAGTTTATACGTTTACATATCGAATGAACACAAGACACGCTTACTACTAGTACCAGGTCATGTATGTACACCCATGCAAACGCAAGTAAAGACACGCTGCCACCACTTGCACAGGCATGACTAGCCGTCTGCGCACCCACACACGTCAACAGACACACGCAGTGGCCCACATACACAGCTTGTTGTCCTTCTCGTGCTCGTTGGCGCTTTTGCTCTGCATAAACACAGACGTGAGATACGGCGTCAACGCGTTGTGCAGGTACGCGTGTGCGGTCTCATACGGTGTATTCCCCACAAAACTCAGCAGCAGTATCTGGCCAGCCATCTCCTGCACACTCTCCCACCTGGGCGTGCGCTTGATCACAGCAAAGCTGACGGCTGCGTTGGTGTCGTAGTTGACGTCCAGGCGGAAATACAAGGCCACGCCACTGCCGTTGTGGTCTGAGGGCAGAGTGCAGTGTTTGTGTTAGTGTGTGTGTTTCTGGGGGGGGGGGGGTAATGTCTGTTTCGCTCTGTGTACGTGTATAGGGGGGGGGGATGTATAATTCATTGGAAAGTCTGCAGTGTTTTTTACTCTAAAGATGATATTTGCTATGATAGGTGTCGTGTATGTTTTTAATATTATCTGCATGTGTGTGGGGTTAAGAATGGGATACAGCAAGCGTCGATGGAGGATGTGTCCACGTGTAGGTAACTCTGCTCCTAAGTGCTGGTGTGTGGGTATGCCGCTGAGTATATATGCATTAGGTGTGGCACTTGGGTGCCTGTCTATCGATGAATGTATGATAGTGGAGATGGATGCTTCCGTCGCCGCCGGCACTGTATAACAATATGGCCACGATGTTTTGTAACAGACGTGTACACTCAAGTGGTCAGAGACATGGACTCTTCTCACACAGCACCTCACCTGCCTATAGGCGACACATACGTAGCCTAACGCCGAAAGAATGGCACACAACAACCATCCAATGGTCACAGTATATGCACACCAACAACCCAATGGTCACAGTATATGATGACATAAGCATATGGTAGTACGCCCATAGAGACACGATGAGTGAGCGGATCTCTAATCTGGTGTAACAGCCCAAAGACATGTCCCAATACACACGGGCGACAACTATACATCGACGTACTTATTAACCTACATTAAGTTTACATACTTAAATACATAGACATACTTAGTAACCTACAGTAGGTTTACATACTTGGATACTTAGCCACCAACAGCACTGGGCAAGATGCATCGGAGGCAAAGCGTGCTATCTTTTCGTAGGACGTCTCTACGCGTACAGCCCCTTCAAACTCCTCTGCACTGCAGCTCAGCAGTTCGGGCGCGACAGTAACCAAATAGCCTACCAAGTAATAAGAGAAAGCAATGCGTGTCAATGTAGACGTTATGCGCAGTGGTAGCATGGTTGAGTTTGTTGATGTGCTGTGGGTGCACTCCTGCGGATGTACACGTCCTCAAACAAACACATAGTACCTCTCATGGCAATGCGAAGTTTGAACGGAACACATTGAAGAAAAATAAGTATGTATACACGCGTATCCTCAAGTATGATTTGAGACTATTCAGTCATGAATA